TGTATAATAATTGAAATGTTACTGTATTTTACAAAATACTAGTCTACTAAAACGCAGCCAAGACAGGTTACTTTGTACAGGCCAAAGGTCACCTTTATTTTATTTGATACGGTAACCTGAGTGCACGTGAGCCGCATAGTTGTAATTTCTGTATTGTTAGCCAGGCACAGGTGAAAGGTCAATATAATAAAGATAATAAATATATATAAATGTATAATGTTATGAGATTTAAGCTATTTTGTCTAAACATATATGTTTTTGTGTTATAAATTGTGTTCATTCTAGAATGAAAAAGGTATAATTTATGTTTATTTCCTAATTTTTTATGGTGGTTGCGAGATTGATCAAATTTACCAAACCCATACAGAGATTAATTACTGAAAATAACAGATAAAATATAAAGGTTTTTCCTAAATGTTTGATAACTATTCGGACATTATAAAGATTTTACATGTGAAATTTCAAAATTTTCTGATGCATAAAAGTATTTTTAATCTTAAAATGAAGAATACTTTGCATGATAGATAGGCAAGATTTGAAAAGAAAAAAAAGGCATGTGAAAAACATTGCTTTACAAATCTTAAGACTTAATTAAAAAAACTTGATATTTTGAATATGAAAGCATAGTAATGTTTACTGATAAACTGCCAATTCTTATTAACATTTGCTTACTAATTTAAATTTTATAGCATGAAAACTATAACAAGCACTAAATGGTTACAAGGTCAGTCCGATGGACCGAGCCCGAGTTGAAAGAGTTAATATAAATCAAAAAAAGAGCAAAGTTCCGAAGACAGCCCTGAAGTACTCCACTTGAAACATTAATCCAGTTTGACTGAACTCTGTTTATAACAAGCCTCTGCTTTCTTCCATCCAGCCACTCTTCTATCCAATTAGCTAACTTATCCCCCACACCTGTATTTTTTTAAAGCCTTTTATGTGGCTCCTTGTGAAATACTTTCAGAAAATCCATATACACCCTTACCCTCATCTACATAAGCAGTAACCTTTTCAATAAATGTTACAAGATTTTTAAGGCAAGATTTTCCCTTAGTGAAACCTTGTTGACTACTCTAACAATATTCTAAGTTTTGTTAAATGACTTTGCAAAGCATATTTTATCACACATTCAAAAACTTTTTATACCACTGATTTAAGACTAATGGGTCTATAATTACTGGGACGGTTTCTGTCACCTCACAACTTTCAGTCTTCTCGCACCTGCCCACTATTCAATAACAGCAAGTGGCTCACATATCCAATACTTAAGCTCAGGATTAATGTGATCATCTTCTTCAACCTTGTTTCCATCTAGCAAATGTTCAGGATGAGAAATACTACTTAAACCTTCATAGGTAAAAACTGAAGAAAAAATTACAATTTAATAACCCAGCCATCCCATAATCATCAGGTATTAACTATCTGGTATCATCACTCAAAGGCACTACTCCCATCCTAACATTTTGATAACCCAGTCATCCCATAATCATCAGGTATTAACTGTCTGGTATCATCTCTCAAAGGCACTACTCCCATCCTAACATTTTGCTTACCCTTAATGTATTTGAAGAAATTCTTATTATTTATTTTTACATTTTCAGCCTACGTATCAGATTAAAAGCAATTATTCTAATTATAATCAGAAAAAACAACTTATAATTGTGATTTAGAAATTGTTTGTTTCCCATCACATAGTTTAAGAACTTGAATTGTAAATCTGGACAAGATTTGTTTTTTTAGAAAATTTTATAATTTACAGTTGTAAATGTTTTTTGTTTTTTTTATATGTATATAATTTTATGTAAAATATGTTAGATTACTAGGGTTTAAAATGCTTAAGCTGGTGAAACAATTATTTGTTGTTGTTTTTTAAACCTAAAAATAAAATGAATATGACATTTGGCTTCAGATGCCTTTATTTTTTTATTCCATTTTATTTCATCCATTACAGCTTTCAAATTGGAAGTATAAAAATTGTATTTTAGATCTAATTGTTGAAATCAGTGGTGCCTTTCATACCAAAATGTATTTGCTGGGTTGGACTTAGAGCAAGAAAAATTTTAATAAAAATGCTTTTGTGTGCAGACAAGAAACTCAGCACTAAGATATGAAGTGCTTAACTGGTTAACAAAGAGACTTTTGAGGTCTGATAAATTAGATAAAAATCATGTTTGATTGAAAGGGTCATTTAAATATTTCAGATCAAAGATCAGGAGTAGGAAAACAGCACTTCAGTTCTATCTCTAAGTGTTACAGAGTAGAAGGAATAAATTCATAAAGTGAATGATACATAAAATTCCAAAAGAACTCTTTTGTACATTTTGATTACAATGCTGTTTATCAACTTGAAATTATGATGAAACAGGATTGAAAATTCATTATTTGCTGTGAATTTGTTTTCCATATATAAGTGTATTTAATAACGTGACATTTCTTTAATAAAATTCTCATTAAAGTTGCTCAGTGATAAAGAATTAATTAGTTTGATGAAGGAGTTATTTTTGTGTTTGTAGTGGGTAATATTTCCTGATCAGTTAACATGTAAAGTTATCATTTAAACAACTCTTGTGTAATGGAGTGTATCTAACTATATTTCATTATTCCAATATATTATTTACTGAGTAAAAAAAAAAAAGCATTCAGTTTAAGATCTAGGGGTGCTGAGTTGTTTAAGACAGTTTAAAAAAAGAGCTACATATGAGGATAGGTTGAAATCTCTTGGGATGTTTTTTGCTGGAGATGAAAAAGCTCAGGTGGACATGGTTGAGGTAATTTTAAGATTGAAATGTTTAATTCCATAAATCCAGGTAAAATTTCATATTAAAAAAACACACACAAAAACTGCATACAGTAAGACTAGAAGTTTAAAATATGGAAATTTCCAGTTAAGGAAGTGTTATTTTTCTGAGAGGGTAGTCAATGTATTTAATAGTTTGTCTTCAGGTGTGGTAGGTGCTGCAATGGGTGCAGAAGGTTAAGAGGAGATTGGATAAGTATTTCAGAGATCAAGGCTGGATATTGGAAAGGTTTTTTTATGTAGTTTGGTGTCCAATGATAACGAAAAATAGGATGGCTTAGATGAGTAAAATAGCCCCATATTATCCCTTGGAAATGAAATATATTGTCAGTTTTAATATGGTCGAATTCTTGGTAAGGAAAATCTTGGATGTTCAGAATCAAGATCTGCTTAATAATTTATTTCAAAACTTTTGTGTAAAATTTTCTGTATCAACCATTTTTATTTATTTATGTGTCTTGCAGAAAATAAATGAAAAGACCCAAGTTGTTAATGATTATGAAGCAGGTCGAGCTGTCCCAAACCAACAAATTTTAGCTAAGATAGAAAGGGTGGTTGGTAAGTACTGTTTAGTTCTCTCTCTCTCTCTCTTCTTTTTTAATAGTATTATGCCAGGGTTTCATTTATTAACATAAGTTAAAGTGAACAAAAAGATGTATACTTACAAAAAATAAATACCCAATCAGGAATTTTCCCTTTGTCATTAAGGGTTTCCAGGATTACTCTAAAAGTATATACAGAGAGATTTGCAGTGTTCTGTCCAAAGTTGCATCAGTAGTGGAATGGTAGTGTATTGCGAATAAGAGTAAAACAAAAACCTTTTTTTATTAGACTGAAGGGTCATTAGTTCTGCAAAAACAACCTTGTTTTTAATCTTCAGTCTCTCTACATGTCTATATCATTTTACCAATAAACCTCATGTACTGATTTAGTGCTGTCATCATTATTATTCAAGCTCTTGATTAAGAGTGAGAGTGCTGGAAGTTTTGCTTCAGTACTAGATGTCACCACCTAACATAAACTCTTTTGTGAGCATGAGAATAAAGTGCCTTGCAATATATATGCTGAAGACATCTATAAAATGGTATTAAATTACTTTCACATTAAAGTTAAATGTCCCTCATTTTGGATATGTAAGCTTTGAAATAACTTTAAAGAAATAAAAAAACACTCCTGAATAATACATTTTGCACAACCAGCCAAAATTTGTAACGTAGCATGCTTTAGTATGTTTGACGTGTATATTGTTAATACTGAGTGTGAGATTTTAGTAACAAAATTTACACTCTCTTACCTCCTGTCTTATAATTTTGTTTTTGTCATAATGATAGGAAAATTATTTAAGATTGTGTTTTATTGGCCAGCTGGTATAAAACTAGCTCTCAAGCCTGGTTAAATTCTTAGAGGACATGGGCCCAGATTGTATACTTATATCGATGTGGGAATAATTAAAGCTGATTTTTGTACCTGTAAGCAAGGCTAGTGACACAGTATACTGATGTTTACAATCATCCTCCCCACTAAAAACTGGGTTTCAGTACCGGTGATGGGCACAGCACAGATGTCCCATTGTGTAGCTTAGTGCTTAACAATAAAACAAACAAACAATCGTTTTCTTATGCAAGTCTTAATCATTTAATATTTACTTGTTTTTATAGATCTTAAATTACAGCATTGTTTCTTATCTGTTGACACATACTGGGTTTAATTTTGTTACTGAGAAAGTTGATAAAAAAGGGAATCTGTAGTTAGTTGAATTGCATATTTCTTTTTGTACAGCCTATTTGAAGAAATTTTATCTTTATACCTTTTATTGGTTGTAATGTAGTACATACTAAAAATGCTTCAGCACTTAACCAAACGTATGATATTTTTAACTATTCGTTCACTGATTTTATGTTGTTTCATAAAGTAGTGAAGAGTTTAGTTTTAAGTGTAAACAACGTAATCAGAAAGAAAGAGAGTTGTAAATATCAAAAATACTTTGATAAGTAATATTTTTTACAATTTACTTGAGGCAGAAATGTTAGACTGTAGGATGAGGTTTTCTTTTTGTGTTATATTGTAAAATATGGAGTTATACCATTTGTAAATGATAGTAAGTTAACTGGTTAGCCTATATGTAATGTTAACATACATATGCTATATGTTTATTAGTTTGTTTCATTAAAGTAACTCTTGATTTAATATTAGGAATGAAGCTTAGAGGGAAAGAAAAAGGTAAACCACTCCAACCCAAGAGTTCGAACTGACACGGGTATTCAGACATCATTGGAGTGTTCTCTCAGACAAAAACTTGTCTGATTATCATTCTTAATTCCTGTTCTGGCAAGAAAGCTGGCTGGTGCAGAGATAGTTGGTGTTGAATTCAGAGAAAAATCATAACTGTTAAACACTTTCAAATGTGATGGAGATAAAATATACCTTGTCATGCCTTACGAAAACATTTAGTCTATCTTAAACAGGCTATTGGCTCATTACATTAATAGAGTTGACTTTGTACAACACAAGTATTCAATGTAATTTAACCTTTGTTTAACATCAAGCAAGAACTTTAATTACAGATCAGATCAGTAGGAATGTTATTATTAAGATCTTAGCCAATGTAGAAAATGCAGACTTTTTTCTATTTTGTCCCATTTCTTAGAACTGCTTGTAAATATGAGACTTAAATTATGCATAATTATAATTCTTACCGCCCTAAATTACTAATATCCATTGTTCACTTGGTAGTTTTAAACAGTGAAGTTTATAAACAAACAAAGATCTTTAGATGCTTAATGAAGAAATACTTCATATAGAAACCGAGCTTGAAATGAAACTTTTTACAAAATTTTATGCCCTAACCAGGATATGAAGATTTTGAAATGTGAAATATTCACTTTACATTTTGATGGATCTTCTTGATAAATTTAGTTTTAGTATAAATTTTTAAGGTTGTTTTACAAAAATACTTTATTTCGAATTTGAAAAAAAAAATAATTGCATTACATAAATAAAAATACACTTATAATCTAAAACTGAAAAACTTTATCTTTTTTTTTTTTCACAGATAGCTGCATTAATCTTAACAGTAAATGGTTTTTAAGAAAAATATGATACTATCGCAGAAGAAATACTTGTGTTTTGGAAATGTTCTTTAACAGATTTTGGAATAGTTACCTAGGTTAATTGCTTTACTTTTGTTGTACATGTCAAATCCCCATTACAGATTTGTAAGGGTAAGTTTGTTAATATCAAGGGGGTGTAGTGTCTTTTTTTTAAGTTAAAATTAGACCAAATGTGCTACCTAAGTAGGTTAAAAAATCATTAAACTTTCTTCTAAACTTGCCAGGTCAGGAATTAATAAGCACATGCAGTTAGTAGATATGGTGTTTGATTTTTAGTTTAAAAGAATTGAGAAGAGAATATTTCAAGTGAAATTTTCAACTTATTACTGAAATAACCGTTATAAAAAAAAGAGAGAGTAAATTATTAAGGTATTGTTGAACTAGAATAACCTTATATTGTCTCTGTCAAAGTTTTTCAAATATTACATTATAATTTATATAATAGAACAGGTGTTGTTTTTATTATACCTTTCAGAAACTATCTTGTACACCTATTATCGAAAGGCATGTCTCATCAGCACTTAGTGCCATCGTTTCCTCTTATTAATAATATGAAACTTAACAATTGTAACAATGATGAAAAAAGCTTTTTTTTTTTAAGAATTCCAAAAGTAAATATGGTTTTTATTTAATGTTTTTGCTAACAGATGGCACTAAGTGATAATGAACACTCCATGAATGTATCGTGTTTTAATAATTCAAGAACTGCGGTGTAAACGTTACTCGTGTTAAGTAATAAATATTTGTGAAAAGGATACAATGTCTATTAATGTTTAATACTGGTAGAATATATGTGGTTTTTAAGGATTTACAATTGCCACTGTAAGACTTGCGTTTTTGCTTTGTTTTGTGGAAAATAAAGTTTCAACTGTACTCACTATTTTCCAGAACAATGTCGAAAAAGTTATTCTATCCTAAAAGGTTGAAAATAAAACGAAGTAGTTACTCGGTATGAAATTGTTTTATCTCTCTCAATATAATGACCATTATCTGAACCCAGTTAAAAACTCGACCAATGAAATATCAAATATGTTAATAATGTTGAGAGTATTTTACGGGGTTCGTTCGTTTGTCTATTGTCAAACTAAAAATTAGGATAACCATTGACTTTTTTTTAAACATTCAACATATGACTGTCTCTTACATTTGACTACAGTCTTAACCACAGTTATTTGTATTCAGACAAGAGAGAGGAATATGAATACTGAAAAAGCCGTAACTATCTGGTGAACACTGCTGTAATGTTAGATAAGATCAGAGACAAACACTTTATATATTAGCTTGCTTTCCATTGAGCCGAATGCTATTTAATACGAGTACTTTTTCTTTTCATCTCGGTTTCGGAAATGATTTTTTTTTTTCCTGTCCTTTGATTTTTTCATTTAGGAGCTCAGATGTTGATATATTTTTAATGAGGTTAACGTGCTTATTCGTTTTTGATTCCAGAAGTGATAACCGTGTTATTTTCTTTACATTGAGTATAGCTCTTTCACAATCACGGGAACTGGGGATTTTCTACTATGGGTAGTCTTTTTCAAACTTCCAAAAAAAATTTACTAGTTCCAAGCTTCAGATAAGTAATAGAATATTGAAATATGCCGTTTTATTTGATAGTGTATCTGAAACAAAACTCGGCAGTGGGAGAGTTATATAACGTGCCAGTGAAAGGATTAAGTGCAACTAGACCACCGTGACCCGTTGGGTCAACCACTATTCAAAGGTTATGAAGAATTCAATATTGCACCGAAATGAAGGTTATTTTATTTTGAGATAATTTAATTAAATATTTCAATCCATTCATGTTATTCATAATTCAAGAAAAGATATTTGATTGTTGATCGGGAGTAAAAGGAAAGACCATTTCATTTTTCAAAAAAGTGAAGTAAGAAGTTTCGTAAAGAGCGCGAACGGTAGTGTCAATGATTCTTTGACTGAGAAAATAAGCAAACAAACAATCTCAGAGTTTTAGTAGTATATAGATAGATAGATTCTCTGAGCCTCGTGGTTAGGGCACTCGACCCGCAATCTGAGAGTAAACTTGTCTATTAGACTCACTCTGTAGTTGACAAAAATTTAAAAACAGCATTAAAAAGTGTGATTTGATATTTAAACAAAAGTTCACGTTCCACATCAAGCAAAAATAGAATCGATTAATAAATTGGCAAAACTTAAAGTGAAAAACAACATTATGAATATCGACCAGTGTAACTTTTTTATATATAATGAAACAAAACGAATAACAGTTATGGAGCTGTAATCATGAACTTTATATTAAACTGTAACAATCAATCCTGTTATTGGTTAAGAGCATATCTTTGGTGGCTTCGCTGTTTACCTTCTGATCAATAGCACTGAATTAGAGGCTGAACCTTGGAACTCAGATTTGTTCGTTTAGGTCAAAAATACTGAATATAATTTATGCTTTATCTTTTGGTCAACTTTTACCAATCAGCTACTTGGCAACAAATATGTCTTAACAAACTATCGTTAAATATAAATGTTGAACTAAAAAAACATCAACAAAGTCTAGAAAACCTAAGTAATGCGCACGTGGTAAGTCATTCTTTATAACCAAAAATAGCGTTGGTAGAGTGAAATCCCAACATTTTGATAAGCCGAAAATTGGCATTTAGACAGAAGAAACTTGAGTGAAATAACTGAATTTTTTATCGGTTCATAGGTTGAATATGTATTGTTGTATGTAAAGAAATTGTGTGAATGAGAAAAAAATGTGGAATTTTAACATGACACTGACTGAACAGTGCAGTATGATAGGTAAAGCTCAGTTAATTTGACGAACTGATACTTTATTTAGTTATACCTGGTGTTACAAGAGTCATTTTCGCTGCTTGGACACAGCGTTCATTTTGTTTCCGACGTTCGTGTAAAGCTACACAAGGTCTTCCTGAGCTAGCCGTCCTTAATATCGAAGGGTAATTAATGCCAGTGGTGCACCCGCATAAATCACCGACCGTAGGAGGCGAGAGTTTGCATTTTCGAAAGCATTTGATTTGATTTTTTTTTAAGATGGGCGCAGAAATTATTTCTTGCACAGAGCATCACAACGATCGGCACGGGCTAACTGTTGGGCTACCAGAATAGTGGGATTCGACCGTTAATCGTATAACGAACACACGGCTCCAAAATACGGCAACGAAACGCGAAACATCGACCCTCGGATCTACAGTACGAGCTAACCACAGGGCCACACCCGGACCAAACTACATTCAGGAAAATACCTATGGGTTTAAAAGCCATCGCATTAAAACAGTTTTGAACAAGTCACTGTAATACGTACGTTATCGTTCACATGGTCAGTTTTGGACTACTCGCCGATTTTCATTGTAGTGTGCCCACTTGGTGTGTATTTATATATAACTGAAACACACACAAGTTTCCCCCTACTCGTGCATACAAATACTTAAACACTTCTGTTTTTCTTTATTATATTACGACTTCTTATGAGTGAACTTTGAAGTCACGAAACCAGTTCAATATAAACCAACTCATGTCAGAATGAAAAAACAAGAGTTCAAGTATTGTGATGTTTTATATTCTCCCAAAGGTCGTCTAGAGGAGTCACCTGTTTTAACCATTCGCACCACTATACATCAGTGTTGTCTGTCAATCAGTCAAAAGACACTAAGATGACGTTACGTCATGACGTTGAATCACGAAAAGAATTATGTACTACGTAGGCTACAACACAATATGGCATATGAACTTTAAAAGCAAGAAATAAAAATATTTGTTACTCTTAATTTTGGTTTTATTTACTATTGAAACAGAATTCTTCGGAAGTGCATCTAGTTTATATATATATATATATACTAGAAGAACGTGTCGAATTTGGACAAAATAAATACCTCCGTAGTATTTCACTCAATTATTATTTAACCAAACAAAATCGGAAATTTGTCCACTAAAAAGATGTACTCTTTCTAAAAGTTCCTTTAATTAAAACAAAAAAACTATCTCGTGCAGTGTTGATACTATGAGTACTCACTCCACTTTCAAAGGTTTTAATTAATCATCCATGTTAATAGACTGTTAATCTTGTAAGGTTTTAATTAATCATCTATGTTAATGTGGATAAACATGGATGATTAATTAAAACCTTACAAGATTAACAGTCTATTAACATGGATGATTAATTAAAACCTTACAAGATTAACGGTCTATTAACATGGATGATTAATTAAAACCTTACAAGATTAACAGTCTATTAACATAGATGATTAATTAAAACCTTACAAGATTAACGGTCCCTATTAACATGGATGATTAATTAAAACCTTGCAAGATTAACAACCTTACAAGATTAACAGTTTTTAATTAATCATCCATGTTAACAGACTGTTAATCTTGACTCAGTTTGTCAGGGCACATTCTTGACAGTTCGGTCTCCATATATGACATGGCCTTTATGAATATTTATGTATTTCTAAGACGCTATTATTGAAAGCAAAATATAATATGTCAAGCATACTAAATCTCCCATATCCAGTGCCGACAAGGCCCTTTACCTAATGCCAAGGCTTATCGGGCCTTCTTGGATACGACAGACATAAGTGTCTAGTAATAAATTTTCATGAACAACGACTGTTATGGTGTGAACCAGATTAAGTAAGTGACTTATTATCAATATTATTAAAGTCATTACAAATCAGATTTTTACAGTAACAATCAATAACACAACGTTATTTATTCTTATTTTAACACCGAGTATTTATTTATTATTACTAATAACTTTACTATTATTCACAAGAACCAGGAAGTTAGTCTTCTTGTTCTCAGAGTGGGTCAACTAACCATAGAAGAATACCAAATAAGTAATTCTAAGTACCCATAAGTTAAAGAATATGTTAAGTCAACAGCACTAAATCTGCCATATCCAGTGCCGACTAGGCCTATCGCCTTGTATCAGAGTTCGTATTCATTAGGCACATGTTTTTTCTCACCAGAGAACATGAACAATGACGACCAAATGGCAGATAGTCGAAAGCGAAAATAACCATGCACTTTGACCCAAATTGTTTAAATTAACCACCATCTCTATCTTATATCAATTCACGTTGTGTGTTTGCGAATTTATTTGTCCGCGAACTCCACCCGTAGTTTTTAGGCTAGCATGACCAAACTTGACAGATGGCCGGTGGGAAATGTTCGTATCTATATGGCGTTTGAATTCCACAGTAGAACGTCCATATTTTATGGTAAAAGAAGTTGTAACTATTGGTTTTCTGGCAATAGTCATATTGCGACTGATATCGTTGCATCAATGCGACCACACTTACACATTTGTTTACATCAGATAAAACCATTACTTCCCCAATCCTCTCCTGGAAAAATAAGAGGTAACAACTTGATATCAAACCTTTGGTAATTTATTTTTACAGATATTTTATGTAACAATATCAGGTTAAACAACGTAGAAGTAAGTTACTCCTATTCTAGTGATAACCGTCAATTAGAATTATGAAGTAAGAGCCTCATAAAGTTTTATTATCAAGACTAAAGTTTTTATTTGTACGTCCATTTTGAAAAAAGGTTGTTGGGAACAAGTTCCATCAGAAAATAAAGCTAAACTTTTTTTTATGAAAACATTAAGTGTTAATAACAACTGTTGCAAAATATCAGAACAAACATTTACCCAAAATCATTTTCATTCTTTTGGCAACCGAAGAAAGAACTAGAAAACCAAAACCACCCGAGTATTGCCATAGTAACAGTACAGGTAGACAGGTTGCGTCATATCCCTTACGTCATTACAATTAAGGTAAGGCGGTCACTTCTGGTTTACAAAACGAACCTCGTTGTTTGTTTATTTTGCAAAGCTACACAATGGGCTATCTGTACTGTGCCCCCATAGATAACGCAATCAGGCTTTTAGTCTTACTGACGAAACCATGATCGTTACAAATGAAATATTTCTGAAACGTGCTACTGCTT